AAACCGCCACCCATGCTGAAATCAACATTGATTTCGGGTGCGGGGGGTGATGAACATCCCCTTCAAGCGCGTTGCGGGTTTGAATATTTTGTCCATGTGCTGTCACTCCGTCGGTCGGTCGTCGTCGGCGTTGTCCTGCCGCCCCTGCCCGCCAGGGGGACGCCGTCGGCGTCGTCGCCGCGCAGCATTTGCCAGCCAGGCTCACCCTGGGCGCACGCTCCCTCGCGGGGGCGGACCTGCCCCCCACCTCCCCCCCCACCCCGCCCCTGGCGGCCGCTCGCCCCGAGGTGCGCCATGGACCGATGGCCAGGTACGCGCCCCTTGGGGGAGCGGGCGGGCCCCGGGAGGAGGCGGAGGTCGCAGACGCGGGGGGGCTCTCGGCAGCGCGCGCGCTGCAGGCCGGCACGCCAGAGGGCAGGCGGGGGCGCACGTGCTGCCCGGAGGCGATCTGCGGCCTGGACGTCGACGACGTGTTCGCGTATACCACCACGAAGAGCGTGAGGATACGGGACGTGCGCTTGGGATTGCTCCACTACGCCCTGATGTCTGCGATCTTCGTGTACGTTGTTGTCTACAAGCTGATCTACAGCTGGGGGTACCTCAAGTTTTGGGATCCGCAGAGCACAATCCGCATGACACTGCAGCAGCCTACGATGGACCAGTGCGATCCGACCAAGCATGCTTGCACTGACAACTTCGCGGCGTTGGGCCAGTTAGCATATTGCTGCCAGTCCAACTCAAGTTGCCAAAGGAGAAATTCGGACGACAGCTGCAGTTGCGATTTTAGCCCCGAATTCAAAAACTATGATTGCGTTTACCTTGACGGCGCTGATGCTTCACACCAGCAAGAGGGTTCGATGTTTGTTGCCACCTTTACGCGTGTTTACTCCCAGGTGCGGGAGTGTTTCATAGACGACATAACTTGCTCGAAGCTGTGGGATACGCGTAGCGAGAGGCTGGCGTTCACTGCGAGCATCGAGGACTACACGATTCTCATCGATCATTCCATGACGTACGGGCAGGCCAGAGGCTCGAAGGATCCTTCGTACATGTCAAGGCAAATGGAGGGCAAGTTGGCTGTCGTAGGCAGCGGCCCGGCCCAGGATCGTCTGTGCGCAAGCTACCCGAACGCTACTGCTGCAGGTTTTGATTGGACGGAGTTCCTCTTCAAGACGGGCTTCTTCTTCGACACCGGCCAGCCTGCCACGGCGGCGCCGTGCCTCCTGCCCCCAGATTCACAAACTGGCGCTGCAGGCGCAGATTTGTTCAAGATCTCGACTCTGCTGGAAGCGGTGGGCGTCCGCCTCGACGATCGCAGCTACAAGGGTGGCAGCCACTCCAGGCGTTACGAGGGTCTTGTCGTGAGGATCGCAGTTCAGTACCACAACGTGAGGCAGTGGCGTCTCAAGCCTCTGGACACGCCGTACTATTTTTATGACGTCAGCATCATCAACGGGAGCACCTACAAGGAATTTGGTTTGGTTCCACGGTCTACCATCGGCACTGAAGAAGACAAGCTACCCCCCAACGACGCGCTGATTCACAGAGACCTTCTGGACCAGCACGGAATCCTTTTCCAGGTAGTCAGCGCAGGCCGGCTGGCGACTTTCAGTATGTCGCAGATGCTCATCCGTCTTACGACGAGTCTCGCTTTGCTGGCGGGGACAAGAGTGATCGTGAACATGCTGGCGCAGTACGCTCTCAAATTCAAGGCCTACTACGCCAATGCCCTATACGAAACCACTGCCGATTTCTCGGACCTGCAGAGGGTGCACGAGATGTCGGATGCCCAGCTCGAACAGGAGCTACGAAATAGGAATCTGGACCCGCGGCGCGGCCCGCGCGAGCGGCGCGTAGCGCAGCTGCTCGAATCTGGCTTCGATCCTGAGCCAGGTCTTTTTTCCGTTCAGTCCTCCTCCTCCTCCTCCTCCTCCTCCTCCTCCTCCTCACCCCTTTCCTCCCCTTCTTCATCCCCTCGGGCCCACTGCGGCACATCCGAGTGAAGGCGTGGTTCCATTCCACTCCATGGTAAGTTCGCATTGTAAATTCCATCGTAAGTTCACAAGGTTAACAAAACCATTGGACTGCGCACCACATCGTTCTCACAGCAGCGCGTGTAACGTTCTGGCGCGAGTCGGGAGACTCGCCATCTGCTCCCCCGCCTCCGCCTGTTTCCCATCAGGCTTCTGGCGGAGCCAGTGCTCGCAGCTGGGACCTCCCGTGGCTGCGCGATGAAGAGTCGGCTGCCAAGACGAAGAGAGGATCCAGACGCCGTTGAGCACTCATCTTGTTTCGAGCCCTGTGGCCTTCGTGGATCGATCCAGCTCGGAAATCAGCGTGCGAAGATGGACCCGAGAGCTCCAGTCGTATGCTTTGTTCCGCGGCGTCGGATGTCGAGTCTCCAGTGGATCTGAAAGTGGTTGATTGACAGTTCCCCCCCCCAAAAACCCCCAGCCCTCGAATCCCACAGCCCTTCAACCCCCCAGCCGCCCAACCCTCCAAACTCTTAAACTTCCAACCCCCAAACTCCACCCCCCCACTCCCAACCCCCCAACCCTCCAACTCTCCAACTCCACAACCCGTCAACCCCCAAACCTCCCAACCCCCAAACCTCCCAACCCGCCAACCCCCTGTCTCCCCAACCCCCCAACCCCCCAGCCTCCCAAGCCCCCAACCCCGCAAGCTCCCAACCCTTAAGCTCGCACCCCCCCCCGTAACTCCCCCAACCCTCAAACCCCAACCCCCTAACCTCCCAAGCCCCCAGCCCCCCATGCCACAAACCCAGACTCCCCCAACCGACCGGCACTCCAGCCCCCCAACCCTCCAACACCCCAACTCCTCAACCCACCGCCCAACCTCCCAACTCCCCAACTCTCCAACCCCCCAACTCCACAACCCGTCAACCCCCAAACCCGCCACCCGCCAGCCCCCCAACCCCCCGACCACCCAACCTCCCAACCCCCAACCCTCCAACCCCTGAATCTTCCAACCTCCCAACCCCCCAACCAACCAACCAACCCTTCAACCCCCCAATCCCCTCAATTTCCCTACTCCCAGACCCTCCAACCCCCTCAACCCACCACTCCTTGAACCCTTCAACCGCCCACCCCAACCTCCCAATCCCCCAAGCTCCGCAACCCCCCAACCCCCTAATCCCCCAACCCTCCGGCCCCTCAACCATTCAACCCCCGAACCCCCCAGCCTCCCAACTACTCCCCCGACCTCCCAACCCCCCAACCCCCCAATCCTCCAGCTTCTCAGCCCACCAACCCCCCAAACCTCCCACCCCCCCGACCTCTCAATCGGCTACCCCCCAGCCCCCAAATTCATCAACCCCCCAACTCCTCACATTCGCTCAACCCACCCCCCAACTTCTTAACATTGCCAACCTGGCTCGCCAAACCTATCTACCTCACCAACCCTACCAACCACACCGAAATCGCCAACGCCACCAGCCTGAACAACTCAACCGACCTTGTCAACTCCCCAAACGCGTAACCCTGGGGCTATGCCTGCCAACGTCGCTAAGCTCCCAGCGTTGGGGGGCTTCACCCCTCTGGAGGGGTTTCTGAGGTCATGGGGTTGGGGTTGGAGGGTTTCTGACGTCCTGGGGCTGCGGGGTTGGTGGGTTGGGGGTTTCACCGCCCTTGAGGGGTTTCTGATGTCACAGGTTTGGGAGGTTTGGGGGTTTCACCCCTTGGGGTTTCTGATGTTTCGGGGTTGGGGGTTGTGCTTCTGATATCACAGGGTTGGGGAGTTGGGGGCTTGAAGGGTTTCACCGTCCTGAGTGGTTTCTGATGTCACGGAGTTGGGGGGATGAGGGTTTCACCTTTCTTGAGGGGTTTTTGAGGTCACGGGGTTGGGGTGTCTGGGGGTTGAGGGGTTGAGGGGTTTGACACCCTGGAAGGTTTTCTGAGGTCCCGGGGTCAGGGGGTTGGGGGGTTGGTGGGTTTCATTCCTCTTGAGGGGTTTCTGATGTCACAGGGTTGGGAGGTTGGAGGGTTGGGGGGATTCACGCCCTGGAGGGGTTTCTGATGTTCCAGGGTTTGGGGCTTGGGGGCTTCGTCCCTTGGAGGGGTTTCCGATGTCCCGGGGTTGGAGGGTTGAGGGGTTTCACGGAATTGATGGGTTTCTGATGTCACGGGGTTGAAGGGTTGGGTTGAGGGGTGGGGTTGAGGGGTTGGGCGGTTTGGGGATTGGGAATTGTGGGGTTGGGAGTCAGGGGGTGGGAGGAGGGACGCGGGTTGGATTGGGGAGTTTGGGGACGATTTGGAGGTCGGGGGGTGGGGAGGTTTGGGGGTTCGCAGGTTGAGGGGTTGGGGGTTTGGGTGGTTGGGGGGTTGTTGGGTTGGAGAGTTGGGGGATGGGGGTCTTGTGTGTTGGGGGGGTGAGGGGTTGAGAGGTTCGGAAAGTTAGGGGGGTGGGGGATTAGGGATTAGGAGGTTGGGGGGTTCAAGGGTTGACGGTTGGGGCGGTTAGGGGGTTAGGGGTTTGGGAAATGGAGGGGTTGGGGGATTGTGGTGTTGTGGAGTTTGGGGATTCAAGGGTTGGTTGGTTGATGGGGTTGGAGGGTTTGAGAGTGGGGGGGTTGCGGGGTTGCTGGGTTGGGGGGTTGGGGGGTTAGGGGTTGGGGAGTTTGGGGACTAAAGGGTTGCGGGGTTGGGAGGTTTGGGGGTTCGGGGCTGGGGAGTTAGGCGGTTGGGAGGGTGGCGGGTTTGGGGATTGACGGGTTGTGGAGTTGGGGGTATGTGGAGTTGGGGGGTGAGGGGGTGTGGGGTTTGCAATTTGGGGGGTTGGAGAGTTGGGGGGTTGATTTGTTGGCCGATTGGGCGGTTCGGGGTGTGTGGAGTTGGGGGGTTCAAGGGTGAGGGTGGGGACACGTTAGCCAGCTCGAACGAGCCAGGGGGCTCTGTCCACTCCCACCCGCCCTCCCACAACATACACAAGAAGCAAGTGCGTCGCGTCCGACGCCTGTCGCTCATCTTATATCGTGGGCGGCTAGACGTTCAGCGCGCGACATGAGCTGCGTCCTATTCCTACCGCGTGTTGAGCAACGTCGACGAGAAACAACACCGCGCGCGATGTACGCCGCGCCCCGCTCCGGCCTCATGTTGCATCGTCGGCGACAACATGTCCAGCGCGCGAAGTGCGCCGCGTCTCATTCCAGCCACGCATGTTGCACCGCCAATATTTTCGCTCCTGCCGCGCATGGAGGAGGGGGAGGAGGAGGAAGAAGAAGAGGAGGAGGAGGAAGAGGGGAGGGAGAGAGGGAGGGAGGAAGAAACTGAGGAGGAAGAGGAGAATGCCTCTTGGGAATTCGCTGGGCGTCCTGGGAGCTTTCTGGTATACGCCTGAGGGCCTCTTGGATATATCCTCTGGGTTGGAACACTGTCAACGCAAGTAGGTGCTAACCTCACAAATGACACCCCATATTTGTGGACGCCTCTTTTTCAACCTCTTGGGGGTTTCCTGGGTATCTTCGGGGCCTCTTGGGAGCCTCTTGGCGCCACCTGGCCCGTCTGACGCCTGCGGAAGCCGAAGGTCACCGTTGCCAAAGGTCTCTCTTACGTGGACACGACAACGGGCGCGCCGGCGGCGAACCGCACTTGCTTGAGGCATTATGACTTGCCGACCGCCCAGTTCCTCAACCCGACGGGCCGCAGCGCCGACGACAAGAAAGTCCATGTTGACAAGCAGGCGTCCCCGCGCGATGCGCGCCGCGTCCCATTTTCGCCACGCGATTCGCAGCGCCGACGAGGAGAAAGTACATGTTGGCAAGAAGAAAGTCGACATCGCGTTGTTTTTTGACAGGTAGGACGAGGGGTCCCGTGTAGGGTTGGTCAGGCGTCCGCGCGCGATGTGCGCCGCGTCCCATTCCTGTTACATTTCTCGCAGCGTCGACGACAAGAAAGTCCATGTTGACGAGAAAGGTGTTGATTGTATTGTTCCTTGATGGGTAGGACGCGACCACCCGCTTGGGGTCACCAAAGCGATGTTCCTTCCGTCCCATTACTGTTCCACTTTTCGCAATTCGACGACATGTTGGCGAGAAAAAAGTAGAGTTTGTGTGTGTGTGTGCGTTTGTGTGCGCGTGTGTGTGTGTGTGGCTGTTAGGACGGCGGGGTTGTTATCGCCCAGCTAGGTGGGGATGTGGGGGTGTTTAATCATAGGACGTAAGGATTGAGGGGCGGGGGGTGCAGGGTTGAGGGCTTGGGGGTTGCGGGGTTGCGGGCTTGGGAGGTTGGGGGGTTTGGGGGTTGACGGGTTGTGGAGTGGGGGTATAGTTAATCTCACACATTCGAGGGTTTGTTGATGTCCCGGGGTCGGGGGGGCGGGGGGGGGCGGGGTTTCACCCCCTTGAGGGGTTTATGATGCCACAGGGTTGGGAGGTGGTGGGCTAGGGGGTTTCACCCCCTGGAGAGGTTTCTGATGTCTTGGGGTTGGGGGGTTGTGGGATGTTGTGAGTTTCGCTCACGTGAGCGGTTTCTGGTGGGGGGAGCGCTCACCCATGGAAGCGTTTCTGATGTCCAGGGCCCGGGGTTGGGGGGGGTCAAGGGTTGGGGCGCTGGGGGGTTTGGGGGTGGGGAGTTGGGGAGTTGGAGACTTGGGGGGGGGAAGATGTGTAGGTTGGGGGATTGGGAGAGAGCCCGAAGAGGCCCAAATCCATGACTTTCCGTCGTTTTTGCATGTTTTCCGCTTTTTCGCGTTCTCGAGCTTCCAACGCTCCAAGACGGCCGAAGACGCCCCGAAAATCGCCCCAAAACCGCCGAAGAGGCCCCCGAAAGAGCCCCAAGACGGCCCCGAAGCCGGATAACTGCCCAAGAGCAACCCAAGATTGTTCAAGATAATCCCAGGAGAGGCCCAAGATGGGCTCCAGAGCGGGAGCGGGAGGCCACAAGGCGCTCCAGGACTGTCCAGATGATCCCAACGTGGCCCAAGATGAGCTCAAGACGGCAAGCACACAGCCCAAGAGGCCTCCAAGAGGCCCCAAGAGAGCTCCGAGAGACGTCCTGAGAGAGCCCAAAAAGGCCCAAATCCTTGAGTTTCCGTCGTTTTTGCATGTTTTCCGCTTTCTCGCGTTCTCGAGCTTCCAACGCTCCAAGACGGCCGAAGACGCCCCCAAGACCGCCCAAAGACCGCCCCAGAGAACCCGAAAATTGCCCAGGAGAAACCCCAAACGGCCCAAGAGGCCCCAGGGCAGGCCCAAGATGGGCCACAGAGCGGGAGGGAAATCCCAGGGCGCTCGAAGACGGCCCAGATGGCCCGGGCCTCCCCCCTCCGTCCTTCCTTCCCGCCCCCTACCCTTGCTTCCATTCCTTCCTCTCTCTTCGCTTCCCCTCTCTCACCCCTCAGCTTTCGTGCTCCTCCCTCCTCTCTTGGGACGGCCCCGCCAGAGCGCCAGACAGGCCTCGCCAGAGCGAGCGGGGCATCGCTATACCCTATTATTTCACAAGTTGCCTTGCCCCTCCCACCCCTCAAGGGCGGCCCCGGCAGAGCGAG